AGTTTCAGGACAACTGTGTCTCATGTCTATAGAGCAACCAGTATGGGTTTTAGAGGGAGGACGGACGGCAGGGAAGGGAGGCTCCAAGGAGAAAAAAGGAACTGACAGATTTCCTTTTGTGTTGAAGTATCTGGAAAAATTGCTAGGCATTTGACTAATCTATTGGGCTATGTGGGAAAAAAATAGCAATGAATACACTGAAAACTAAGAAAATGGGGAAAAATAATCATTATTTAATCCAAGCAAAACAAAAGTTGTAGAAAGAGTAATTGTGAAGACATCCTGAAAAGCTCTCCAAAGATCCAAAAGATGACCATTGGGAAAGGACCATTTGAATACCTGACCTACTCTTGGAACTCGGAGCCAGTCAGTGTTAAATGCATAAGCAATGACGTGTGAAAGAATAGCAACTACTTGCCAGTAGCACATGCGAGTGTGCAAATAATCGATCTAGGAGAATATAGACAACTTTCTATGGGCAGTCGCGTAGGCTAACATTTTCCAGTCTCCTTCCTCCCCTCCCCAACCCCAGGGGGGATAAGGGAGGGGGCAGAGCAAGAGAGCAGGACTGGAGGACACGTGTCCCTGCACCCTGCTTCCCTCCAGCCACCGGTTCAGCCTATACTGAGGGGAAGAGGAGGCTGGAAGCAAATGTGAGATTAGGGTTTTTAAATGAACAAAAAAGTCACTTTTAACCATGCAACTGAAATATTATGAAAATAGTCTATCATCAAGAAAGCTTGCTTTCTTTCTTCTTTCTTTCTATTTTTAGACAGAGGGAAAGGGAAGGAGAAAGAGGGAGAGAAACACCAATATGTGTTTGCCTCTTACACTCCCCACACCAGGGAAGCTGACCTGCAACCCAGGCATGTGCCCTAACTGGGAATCGAACCAGCGACCCTCTGCCTCACAATCCAGTACTCAATCCACTGAGCCACATCAGCCAGGGCATCAAGAAAGCTTTTTAACCAGAGGGAAAAAAGGAGAGATCTGACACAGAACAGAGTTTTAGAAAAACAATAAAAAAATTGTTGTTACACTATCCCACTTGAGAGTCCTTCATCAGACCAGTTGCATAGTTTAGAAAAAAATATCAGATGGTGATAAGTGCTGTGCATAGAATTAAAACAGGGCTGATGCAACAGTGAATATATTGTCACCTTAGGATGGATGAGGGAACGCCTCTGTGACAGGGAACATTTAGGCTCAGTTCAGAATGGAGCCAGCCAGAAGACTGTGGGGCAAGAGGGGAGGTAAGCAATCTTCCCAGGAGGAAGCGGCAGCTAGTGAGAAGGCCTGAGCTTGAGGAGCAAAAATAGGCCCAGCATGGCTCAGATGTCACGGGCTAAGAAAACACAACAAAATGAGATCAGAGAGGTATGCAGGGACCAGATTCAAGAGCTGACCCTGATGGCAGAGGGAGCAATGCTACCCTCCCCGATGGCAGCAAGGCAAAAATGCACGCTTCTTATCGGCCAGACATGGGCCCTGCTCAGGATGCCAGTCTGAAGAAGCAATAGCTGACTGCTAGTGGGTTGACCAAAATGTTCCTTTGGGTTTTTCTCATAAAGTGGCTCTAATAGCGCTTAGTTGTCATTAACTTCATTTAAAACAATTTTGTTAGTGTATTGTGCCAGCTGTCATATAAGCACAGATTTTTAAATAACTTACCAAAATTGGTGAATTTTTGTGTAGCCATTTTAATATTGAAGATAAAAGAAAATACATGAGTTTTGGCATATTATGCTTTATTATTTAAATAAAGGTAAAACAACTAAACCACACAAAAAAGATTTGTGCAGTGTGTGGAGAAGGTGCTGCGACTGATCGAACGTGTCAAAGGTGGTTTGCGAAATTTCATGCAGATTTCTCGCTGGATGATGCTCCACAGTCGGGTAGACCAGTTGAAGTTGATAGTGGTCAAATCAAGATATTAATTGAGAACAAGCAATGTTATACCACTCAGGAGATAGCCGACATACTCAAAATATCCAAATCAATAAAGTTATTGGTAAAAGTGAAAAAAATGATATCTTTTATTATACAAAAAAAAAAAAAACCATACAGACTTTTTGTCCAACCCAATAGAAGCCAAGAGCTGTGAGGGGCAGCTGCAAAGCCATTAGCCAGAGGAGGTGTGGCCCAAGTCAAGGGGTCTGCAGCCCAAGTTCCAGTAGGGGAAAGGGCAAGGAACTCACAAAAGCACTTCATGGGGGGTAAAAGCTGGCATTTGACATTGGTCACACCCCTGAGGGTACCCACTCTAAGTTAATGTCTTTTTCTGCTCCTTTATTTTGTGCCTTCTTGGATCCCACTACTGGAGCAAGGCAGGGCAATAGACAACATACCCCCTTCCCACGGTGGATTTCCCAGCCCGCAGCACACCTAAAGGAGGCGAAGTGGGAGAAAGGGAGGGTGGAGACACAGAGCTTTAAAGGAAATAAAACACTGAAGTTTTGATACTAGATTGGAATTCTTCTAACCTGAAAAAATGAACGTAGTTCCATAATTTTTAAGAGACCAGAACAACTATGGGTCCTGAGAATTCCTTCAGACACAGGGAAAGAGATAACCAAAAATGTCAACATGGATTTCTTCGGGAGGTCAAGTTTTTCTTCCCTTTGCTTATTTGTATTTCCTAATTCTTTTCTAACATTAGTTGTTTAATAAAAGTTTTGTGGATTTTTAAAGAAGGTACTATATTTAGTTCAACAAACAAGACTTCATGGTTTAAATAGCACTTGAGGTAACTTTTTAAAAATTATCTGATTAACTATGCTATTACAGTTGTCCCAAGTTTTATCCCTTTGCCTCCCTCCACCCAGCACGCCCCACTCCCTCAGGTCATCCCCACACCATTGTTCATGTCCATGGGTCACGCATGTGAGTTCTTTGGCTACTTGAAGCTTGATTCGGGCAGGCAACAGCGGCAGGGGAAAGAGGTGTTTCTGTTGGGGGATGAGCCCAGGGCATGTTTGTATAAAAGGATGTTCAGTTAGGCTGGAGTTAGTGTAAATGTGGGGAATAGTGGCAGATGAAACCAGAGACACAACCAGAGTTAGGCACTTTTATGCACGTAAACAGACGTGGACATCTGTATTAAGGTTTCTGATAATGAGACATGTAGTTATCCGGAAAGTGCGGACACAGTAGGCCTCGGAGGGATGGGACTCGGAAGAGTGGCCATGGATCACAGGAGGCACTAAGGAATCTACCAGGCAGGGGTGTCTCCTCAATCTAGAACGCCAGGATTCCCTGTCTCTGGCTGCCAGCTTCATTCCCTACTGCTTCAGCTGGCGGTATCTTTCCCTCTGCTCAGGTTGAACATAGCCTCCTTTCCATTGGATGGCCTTCTTCCAAGTTCAGCTTCCACTTCTAACTGCCTCATTCAAGAGAATGTCAGGACTTTTCCCAATGTCAGGAATTGAAGGTACTTTATTGTAATAGACTAGCCCAGCTCTTTTTTATTTTTTAGAAACAGAAAGAAGAGGGAGAGAAGCAGCGACGTGAGAAAGAAACATCAATTGGTTGCCTCTCGTAGGCACCCTGATCGGGACTGAACTCGCAACCTAGGCATGTGCCCTGACCAGGGAATCAAACTTTGCTGGATGACACTCAACCAACTGAGCCACGTCAGTCAGGGCTAGCTCAGCTCATTTTTTGGTACCAGTCAGGCAACATCGCACAGACTGGCTGCCCTTGGGTTTAATAGGCAGGGGCTGGAAGCAAGAGATCATGTATTAACGGTGGGGAGGGGGCTGAGGACAGGAAGGTACATCCATTAGGGACACTAACAGCTGCCTAAAGATTTGCCCTTCGCAAGCAGTTGCTGGGGCATTTCTCCTTAAGAACTGTGGCCTATTTGGACATGGCTTCTGCATTACAAGTAAGGAATGAGCCAAAATATGAAGGGCCTTACAGTCTAGGGTAATAGAATCTGTACCTAATTGTGTAGGTAAGAGACTAGACATCACACACACACACCCAGACACTCAGAGTCTCGCCTGGATTTGGGCACTACACAGTGGCTTTTAAACGCAACCGAGTCATTCTGCTTTTTCTTCCCTGTATTTGGAAAAGAGGGTTATGGCATTAAGGAGCTTTCATGTAGGCTAGGAACAGATCTCAAAAATAAGAGAACTGTGTGAAAACTCCCTGATGCTGAGCAATATGATCTTAATCTAACTGGCTCCCCAACATAGCTAAAAATACACTGTACAGCGATATCATATTCACTCTGGATATGGCCTCATGCGAAAGAGGGTGGGCCAGTGATGAGAGGTTAAGTGGTTACAAATGCTTTTTGCTGCTGAAAAGTGGAAAGTGCCCAAAGGCAAGAAAGATGAAAAAATTTAGGAGTGGGCCCAGTAGCTAAATGTCCAAATTTGAGAAATAAGGAAGACATGTTTCCCTCACTCTGGTCATTTTCCCAGTGAGATTCTTCAAGATAGGAAGGTGTACACTACTCCTTTCACAGCCATAAATAATGCATATACTGTGACTACCACCACATACTCAATCATAAGACACATATGGCACAAACTATGTTAAGTACTGGTAAATTTTATTCATTCAATAGATACCTATGAAACACAAACCAAGTAGAACAGTCTATAATTAAGACAGGATGGGACTTCAGTGGGTGTTGAATAGTGATAAACTATACTTTATAATAGAACCTTTATGTAATTTCTTAGGACAGACACATGCCTCTAACATCTAGTTTTCCCTTTGAAAGCAAAAGTTCATCATTTGAAATAAAGTCCCCAGCTGCTACAAATGAATAATTTTAGCACCAGACCAAGAATTAGAAAATTTTATAATCTCATTATATCCCTCACCCCAATCCTACATTGCCAAGTGATTCCCATTTATTTTGCCTCTCAGTTTTTCCAGATAAACTGCTATATCTGTGTGGCTCACACAAATGACACAACTGAGCCAGGCAGGTTAACAGTAACACCAAAGAGAAAAGGCAAGTAAAAAAGGAAACACTGAAGTCCTTTCATGTTAACGTTTTATTTAAACCAGTACAAGCACCATGCTTAACAGAAGACTGTCCAAAATAAACATGCAATATGAACTAGCAGAGACTGAAACCACAGCTTAAGAAGTTGTGCCAGTTGTTACTTTTGTTAAACGATGACAGGGAACTGTTAAAATTCACAAGACTAAACCATTAACGTTTCAAGCCTCCTTGAATGGGATTATATTGGACCATCTAAAAAATCAGTGGGAACTGCCCTGGCATGTTAGTGATCTCAAACATGTAATTCAAGTAATTATATGCATATGAACTACATTCCAAAAAAGCAAGAAAACACAGTTTCTATCACAGTCTTAATGTAGTTATTTTAAATATTACAGGAACATGATTAGTGATTTGAAATATCGAAGGGTATAATAAGAAACAAATTTCTCAAAAACATTTGAGACCACTGGTGTTAAGTGGCCTAGAAGGTTTACATTCTTCCAGAAATACAAAATAAGATTTGTCCAGAAATGTTTGAGACACTTCTTCACGTAAGTTTTAAAGGCTCAAATTCTGTAGATTCCAGTATCATCAGTCTATTGAACAAACAGGGACAGCAACCGTACTGAGAATATCCGAACTGATAAAATACGAGTTACTCTCCTCCTCCACGAAATATCAGCATTTAAACTCTTATGAAAATATCTATCCATCACTAGTCCACATTATGGATTAATGACACTGCTCGGGTTTTAAAGTAGTCCAAACATTTTTTAAAGTACACCTTCATTACTATCTATATGGGTGGGGAATAAAGACAGCCAAATTTAATTTGGCAATAAACTCCTCTAACTGGAAATTTTTAGTTAAAGTGACCAGAATACAATTTATGGCTACATTTGACTCCTGAAAATAGGAGATAAAAAGGGAGAGAAAAGTGCTGACAGACATCTTGCTACAAAGATTATTCAGTAATGATAATAAAAAAATGTAGCAACACCCTCTTAAACAAGAGTATGTTTAACTGCACTAGGCATTTAGTAAACTTTTTAGAAATAGACAATTTGAACACTTATTTCCAAAGTCAATTTAACAAAAACAGTCAGTCAAACAACTTTTTTCCCTAACACAATTGCTTCAATACCAGAACAAATTGATTGCTATTCAAAACTCTTAATGTTTTGGAATTTCAGCAGAGTAACCTGAGAACAGTTTTCTTCATGTCATTTTCATTGCCACAAAAGCCACACTAAAAACATGCTGTGATTACTACCTGGTTCTATTTTGACAACATTAGGTGCTATGCAGAACTTACGCAGGGCCAACAATTTCAAAACTAATGCTTACTTAGAAGACCATGAAGGGAGGTTCTCAGGAAAAATACTGCTGCCAAAAAGGAAAGATTAAGATTTAAGGCTGAATGGGAATGGTTGTACCAGAAAGTTAAGGAATGTGAAAACTGGAATTATGAAATCTGGAGTTACTATTTGACAGAAGGCAGAAAAAGAGATCAAATAAGAAATGTACTTGAAAAAAGAATGCAAAACTTGGTTAGATGGAAGGGAAATTTACATAAAAACCTGAGAACACTCAGCTACAGGATTTGTAAATCTCCCTAGAAGACAGAGGGAGTAAAAAATGATTTTATCCCTTAACCTCAAATCTACTGTCTTGCAAAACATGTTATTGATAAGCAGCAGACATGCTTAAAAACAAAACAAAACCCCACCACGGTTTATCAGTTCTTTGCCCCTGTTAGAGAACAAGGGCACTAACAGTTCTGTGTCTGGAGGTCAGTATTATCTGACATCATGGAGGACTTTCAAAACTAAAACGCGCAAGACAAAAATAAGGAACCTCATTAAAAAATACATTCTTGCAGCACTAGTTTCTCTTTGCTGCAAACCAGGTGAAATAAGTCTCATTCCCTTCATTCGAAACATTAAAAAACACTCTTGGATTACATTTACATTTCTGCAGAATTATAAGCATTATTCTCCAATATCAAAATAGCTGTTTAAAGAATTCTTTAAATTCCTGGTGATGTTTTCTCTCTCTCAGGAAATTGGAATAAAGAATCCTTCCATTCATTAACCAAAACAAATACCCACTCTAGCACTTCCTCATCTCCAATTAACTTCCTATTGCTTCCTGTTTCTACATTAGTGAAGCCAAACAGTGTTGGGAACAGAAGATGCTCTATTCAATATTGTGAAAATTCCAACTATCTTTATGTCTCTGTTAAAGTTGGCACAAAAACCTCAAAAAATATGCAAAGAATATATGAACAAAAAATATGCCAACATAAAAAAATGCCTTTGCTAGTTTTGAAGTGATTAAGATATTCTTAATATAAGAATTCACGCACCAAATTTGGTTAGTCTTTAGATCAAGACCTTTTGTCAAATTAATGTTAAAGTTACTTATTTGTTTTTAAATACTATACATTAGAATCCTTGCTTTATGCCAATGGTGCCATCATCTAACAAGACAGATATTTAATTTAGAATATGTTCTGAAATCTAGGATATAAAATGCAATTTCTATTGATGTGTTAATGTTATTAACTATGGTCAAGGTTTTAAAATAAGCAATTTTTCCTATAGCACAAAATTAATCACAAATATGCCCAACATTATAACTCTCAACTGCTATATATTCACCAATGCAAGCAGATAGTTGGAATTTTAAAAATATGAAGTAGATTTTTATTACAAATTTCAGATACACACATTAGAAAATTTTTTTACTTGGACCCTTTACAAAAGTATTAATTTCACCAAATTTGGAATACTGGCAGTGTAAAAGTCTTAAACTAACTTTAAAGCTAACAAATCAAAGGCACAGTATTAACACACTTAAAATAACTAATTTTCACAGGACAACATTAAGAGGTGCTTTATAAATAAGGTATTATTAACCTAGATTCAAAATTCTCTAGAAATGACATAACTAGGAATGAAGCCCTTGATTAGTTACAACCCATCAATTCCTAAGATGCTGTTTTCCATAAGAATAGTCAAAATTATTATAAAATCTAACTCCCAGACCTTAACAACACACAACTGAAGAACAAAGTTTCTAGACTTGATTAAAAAGATACAGGGAACCATAGAAGGAACAGAATTGATGGAAAATGTACTTGTAATGCAGGTTACACTGTAGTAAATTATTGTTCATGGCTCAAAACTGGGTCACTCAGGTCTTTTACCCCAAATTAATTTCAAATTTTTGATAACTGATAATACACTATTTTCATATATAAACTGCTAACATCCAGTATTTGTCAAAAGGAGGCAACTGTTGTCTATCATATACCCACTTTCTGATGGTATCCGCAAACAGTAATTCTGAACTCTAAGTTATAGAAATTAGTCACAAGAGTGCAAAAAGTCCCTGGAGAGAAGTAATTCACCTAACAATTACAAATATAGGGAAACATTTTACAAAGTTTCATTACTATGAAGATGATTTCCTCTTTGTTCAAACTTTGAACAAATGAAAAATTTTTCTTTACTGCAGGAAACAAACTGTAAGTAACAGTGCATTTTTAGGCATAAATAAGTATTTATGTCTGGTTCCAGTATGGTCAGGTTAATACATAAACACTTTAGAAACACAGAACTTCACATTAGTGGAAAAATCCAAGTTTCTCACGTAACCATTCTTCAGTTAGGTCTTCAGTATTTCTTATTTCAAATACCTTAAGGAAAAAAAAACAAGTTATACTCTGATACTCCTCCCAAAATCAAACACATTCTATATTTGAGCATTCAATTCCCAATTGTCCTTTCTTTCGTACTGATCATGACTTAATCTATGTAAATTAGATAACCATTTGGGAGAGAGTTTACTTTTTTAAAAGTACTAAGTACTCAGTACTCAGTTACCTAAGTTTAGAAATTAAGATAGCATAGTACCAAGATTCTCTTACAAGTGAGCAATTCTGTAAATCCCATCCACTGAAAGAGACAACCCAAGTAAATCACTCTGGTTAGTAACTGAAACAACATACGCTGTTCTAGCTGTAGATTGCTTTGATAAAGATGGACTCGAGGTCCACAGCCACAAATCTGCAGTAATAATCTGCAAACACACAGCCCCAGAAAGTGTAATGGCTGTAGAGAGAAAAATGTGATACAGAGGACAGAACGGCAGAGGGCAGATGGGAGAGTGAATCCTAGTTCTGTTGTTTATTATTATGTAACTCTGGACAAGTCACTCATCCTCCGAACTTCAGTTTTCCCATCTACAGAATACGAATACCACCATCAGCCTCACAGGCCGTGGTAAGGACTCAATGGGATTATTTGTAACAGTAATTTGTAAATTGTAACAACTTGATTCCAGCACCTCAGGTCAAACCTAGGATTAGAACAGACTCGAGGCTGTTAACATAGCTGTTCTATAACACACAAGCCCCTAAGGCACCCCAAGGAATTCCTATAGTACAAATGAGGAAAAGTAGTGTCTACAGGCCGGCGCTATCAATGACAATCACACAAGCTAAAGGGAAAAAGCTGAGAGCACTTGAAGACACCCCCAAAGGAAAACACTGATGCTGTCCTTAAAACATGCAAGGGAATATTTAATACCATTGCGGTGTTATAATATTCTATTTCTAAATCTAAAATTCATATACTTTTTCAACTCAAACTAGTATGTGGAAATTCAAGTTTAAGAGCAAGTACCCTCCTACTTCTAACTGCCTACCTTTCAAAACTGCCATAAGACAATGGGGACATGTTAAATCATAAAGCTAGTGTCTCATATAAACAGAATGCTCTAGCTTAGTAGAGCTACTAATAAGTATTCTTTAGATTTGGAAGCAATATAGTTAACTGCATAATACGGAATTCCTACACAGAATTTGGATCATTCAGCCTATGGTAAAGCTTCAATGATGACTTTTATCTATTAGAAATTACATTCTGGAAGATGAAGAACTCAAGAGGCTGAGTACTTACGGTGGCTTTTCTAAAGCTGCCTACCTTTTTAACTTGATTTCTTCTGATGAACTTACAATTCCAATTCAAAAATACACCTTTGGTTCAAGGCTTCTATCACTCCACTTTCAACTAATAAACTTTGACTAATCTACTGCTATGTACTAGATGATGTTCAACTTTATGAAAAATACTTAACTCTTCTGAATATTTTTGCTATTACTCTGTATGGTCCCCTTTATCCCCAGGAGATACATTCCAAGCATCCCAACACCCCAGTGGATTGTCTGAAACTGCAGATAGTATGGAGCCCTGTATATACTATGTTTTTTTCTACATATGTATCTTTTACATAAATGAAGCACTTTACAGAGCTTCTCTATGGCATATCTGAATTGCCAGTATCACTAACTATGCTTGTACTTTGGGGCAATTATTAAGTAAAATAAGGGGAACCTGAACACAAGCGCTGGACAGTGATCTGCTAACTGAAACAGCTACTATGTGACTAGCAGGCGGGTGGGCTACACAGCGTGGATATGTTTCCACTGTATACGTATTTGCTGGACAAAGTGATGATTCATGTCCCAGGAAGGATAACGATTTCAACATGCTACTCAGAACCATGTGCAATTTAAAACTTAAGAATTGTGTATTTCTGGAATTTTCCATTTAATATTTTTGGACCATGGTTGACCTCGGGTCACTAAAAGTGTGGAAAGCAAAACTGCAGATGGGAAGGAAGCTACTGTGTCCTAAGTGAAAGTATTATCTCAACAAGCAAGTCAAATATAAATGTCACCTTGGTTAGCTCGGCTGTTTGGACTAGTTTATTCTTACTCCCAGCATACATCATCTGTTGTTCAGGCTTACATCCTAGAGAAGAGAGATTTGTATAAAAATGAGCCATAGGTTTTGAAAAAGTAATGGGTTTCATTATTTACTTTTAAAAATGATACATTTAGGATTTCCTATACTTTCAAGTTTATAAAAACTTCAGTCTAAAAGTGATTCTAAGAGTTTTACTTGCGTACTATACGAGGAGTCACAGCCAAACTACAAATAAACAAGATTTAGGTCAGCAAAAATAAATGAGGCTAGACCTCTACAGATCCTGACTTTTAAATCCTTGCAAACACTTAAAAACTTTTTAGCATTTTCTTATTTTTTACTTTAAACACCAAGTTCAATTTTATGGATGCCTGACACAGGCAAGGTTTTTGGATAGCGATGGGTCAGTGGGGTGGAGAGATCTGCCCTGAAAAACATTGGTCTGATTATCTATTAAGTTAAAAATACACTGCAGTATATTTTAAATGATAAAGAAATGATACAAATAATAAAGTATAGAGAAGAGTTCACTGAGTAGAGATTTTACTGTGGGCTTGAACGGTGGTACTAGTGAGAGTTCCAGTGATACCCTAAATACCAATAAGCCATTTTAATATCCAATGTAAGCTACTTTGGGACTATTCTCAAGATTATAGGCATATTACAGGTAACTGCTCTTTTAAAGATAAATACAAATATATATCATGATTATATACAAAGTTCATACTTAAATATATAGGAGAAAATATATTCTTGATACTTTAAAATGTTATTACATTTCAAATTCCTTAAAATGTGTGTATGATCTGACCTAACAATTACACTTCTAGGAATTTATCCTAAGAAAATAAGCAAATTCTAAAAGATGATGCTTTGTAACTTATTTCTGGGGATGCATTCACGTGTGCATCTATGTGCACACACAATTCAATTTAGGTTTATTCAACACTTTTCATCTTTAAAACAAGCATCCAATTTGTCTAGTATTAAAAAATGGTTTCATTAATTAAATCAGAAACAAATATGCACTAAAGAAATTCACTTACCAACAGGACTAGAGAAAATAAAACACAGAGGATATGAAACTCTTCCATCATCATGTTGATATTTATAACTATACACAATGAAGGTTTTTCTCAAGTTAAAGAAACTAAAATTACTGCTGTACTTAAGTACTTATGAACAAAGTTTTGAAACAGACACCTGGAGAGATAGTGAGTGGTAAATTTCTAACATACCCATTTAGGCCACAGCTTCATTATTCGTTGTCTTTCCACAAATTTATAAATAGGCCCCATGATAAGTTACAAAATCATTTAAACTCTCAAAAATAAATGTATTAAAAGTATGGATTTAATATAGATTTTTAAATATTTCTCATTTTCAAAAACACAATTAAAAAATGGGTTTAAGAGGGAAATAATTCGTCCCACCAGTGCACCAACTTTTCATTTTTCTTGGTCCAATGTGCATATACACTTTAATTTGATTGTGATCATGGTATAGAAGAAACTTTTGTAAAATATGTCTTCTAAACATTGAAAAAATAAACTTCATAAATAAGATTGGACCACTAAAGAAAACAAATCTTTTTCAAGCACTAAGAAAAGGATATCGAGGTTGTCGTTCAGGGAGTTCGTCCTTAAGTTCATCTGGTGAAATGCCCTGGCACAACAAAGAAAAACAACTTTTAAACATTTTGTGACCTATACCCTTAAGAGATATACCAAGCACCCATTCTGTTAATAGGTATAAATTCATAACCATACACCACAACATAAAATTTTATTTTACTAAGTTGTACACAAGCTGAGGTTCCTGAACCCTTAACCTAATGAAAGCCCACCCCAGCCCACTCAGTTTAGTTGTTTAACAACTAAACGTGGGGCAGAGAGGAACAGTAGTCTGTGCTCTTGACCCGGTTGTCAGGAACTACTGAGATAAGCCGACCCCTCAGAAGACACAACATGTCTGATGTGGTGGGGCCACGGGGATGGGAAGGGCAGTTGATTTCTTTTCACTCTAAATTGGTTACTTAATTTGACAAACTATTTAGGATATAGGGTTTTAGTTTTAAATTACTGGCAAAGCAATTTAGAAGCAAGTTATAAAGCTAACCCTGTAATTACCAGACATATAGCCCTAACTTCTACCACTTGTTACAGTGATTCATTATTGTTTTAAAGAAAGCAATTAAATTAGCAAGGCAAAGCACTGTACAATAATTAGCACATGTTTTTCATGCATAATGAGCATGTATTTAAAGGTGTAGAACTCATTTTAGAATTACATGTAACTAATATAACATCTTTTGGGCAATAATTGTTTAATTATAAAACTATATTTAGCTAATCAAACAAACCTCAAGCTCTTCATCCAGTACCACCAGGCGTTTATCCTTATCAATCTTCACTAAAATAAAAATATAGCATGAGCAAACTGTGATTCTAATGTGACCTTGATCTACCCAACCCACGGTCTCAGCCCCCTTTTTGGCATCAAAAAAATTAAAACATCAAGAAACACAAGCATAAAAAAATACATTCAGAGTTTAAGTTCATGGTCTATTAACTAGCTTAGCTTCTCAAGCAGTCAATATTTAGAAGCTTTTACCCATAATTTCTATCACTTGCTTTGAGTATTTAGAACTTTCTGTCAACTGCTTACATTTATTGTCTACATGGAGAACTGTAACTCAAATGCAACTTCCTATATAATCAGAAAAGGTCTGAAAGGGTGACTGTGACTGAGATTGGTCTATGTAGTATGGTTAGAACCGTAAGGGGAAAGTGAACCAGGAGTTGGGATAGAATGGCTGTCAAAACCCCGGCTTCTCCAGAGTCAGGATTTCATGGTGCGGTATGAGTATTCTGAGAAAGTGAATTAAAAATAGCAGTGATATCTATACTCAAATATATGTAACATAATCCAAAACACGATTAAAATGTGTTAGATCATCTATGCCTCTATTCTTTTCTGTCACTCAGAAAAGTTGGCCATTTTTGGCCACCTAATTTCACAGTAAATCCTGTGAGAAACAATATGATCTCAAATAGCTTTACCTTTCTGTAAAATGGCACTGAGCCACATTTGCACCTTTAAGAACTGTGTTTCTTTGTTGTATTATTTATCTGTAATAGAACTAGAATTCATGAAAAGCTGTCACACCTCATTAATTCACATCTGCCAGATGCATCTCTGCTAAGCATAGTCTATACACTTTCACATTTTTACCCACCTCATCCTTCCTTTATCCTTCTAAATTACACCCACATATTAAATATTACCTAACAATATAAAAGAAATCTGCATAACACCAGATATAGCACAGAGTGGGAAAAGAAACATTCAAATCATTCATTCCATTGTCAGAAGTCAGTGACACTTAAACACACTCTCCATGAAATTGGAGTATGAGTCTAAAACTGACATAAGGGTGCAAATTTCTCTGAACACCAGGCTAAACTTTACCATCTCAGATGTAGGCAAAGGCCTGTTTAAGGATGCATGGCCAGTCTATGTTTAGTCTCCCAAGATGTTAAAGGATGGAGATGGATGGGTCACTATAGATGACCAAGCGACCAAAAAGATAATCTCCTCCAGCACTGTGTAGGCAGTGGAGGGGGGAGGTGGAACACCCCAACTCTGGTCTGGAATATTAGCCATATCCCTTACTTATTTTTTAAAATAATCTAAAGGTTCAGTTTATTCAGTGTAGCTAAAGTAATCTAAGGAAGGGGGGAGAATGAAATCTAAATATTGTTTACTCAATGTAGCTATAAGATAAAAACAAACTAACACCATGTAACTGAAGCAATCACTTTTAGCTTACTTATAATGGCAGCATTGTTTGTTTCTTTGCGAAAACGAAATTTTCTCAGTTTTTCCACTAAATCTTCAGCAACATCACAAACCACCAAAGACTCACTCTAGAAAAGAAAAAAAATCACATACAAAATGATTTCAATATATACATATGTTAAATGTTATAAAATGTATACCTTTATAAAGGTATACTGACATCCACAAATGCCACAATTATGTGAAAACATTAACATGAAACACATGAACACTTAGAGAGCTTCTGAATCTTCCAACATTTGTATCTACATTAACTATGCACATTTGTTCATCTTATCTGTAGGGTACACTTTAACATTCTCTTTAGCTAATAAATATCTCAAAACTAGACATATCATAATGTGCAATTTTATCAGAACTGTAGAGAAAGAGAAGAACATGGGAAAAGTCAAGATCATTGTCTGTTGTTAGAAAGCATGTATTTTTGCGCAAATCACAAAGAACAGAATAATCATCTAATTGTATTTAGAATTAATAAGACTTTGATTCATTTTGGGGTCTCACAACTCTGAAAAATATACAAATAAACAGAAATATGAAAAATAAGCCCTAAGATTAAAGACCAATAACATTTATATCTTAATTAAATGACTGCAGGGATTTTAGAAAAAAAAATTATTTATTTTTAGAGAGAGGGGAAGGGAGGGAGAAAGAAAGGAGAGGAACACCGAGAGAATATCGATCAGCTGCCTCTCACATGCCCCCAGCTGGGGACCTGGCCTTCTACTTAGGCATGTGCCCTGACTGGGAATCAAACCAGCAACCTTTTGGTTTGTGGGGATGGCGCCCAACCTACTGAGCCACATCAGTCAGAGTGACTGCAGGGATTTTTAAAAAGGAACTAGTAAGAATTATGATAGCAAAACCAGATGAGACAAATAAAAAAATTAAAAGAAACTTTTACAAATTATGAGACTCTCCTCCTGATAGCTGGCAAGGAAATGATCAAAAGCATTCTTCTGCGCTGGCTGGTGTAGCTCCGTGGATTAAGCGCGGGCTGCGAACCAAAGTGTCGCAGGTTCGATTCCTAGTCAGGGTACATGCCTGGGTTGCAGGCCATGACCCCCGGCAACCGCACATTGATGTTTCTCTCTCTCTCTCTTTCTCCCTCCCTTCCCGCTCTAAAAAATAAAATAAATAAAATCTTTAAAAAAAAGATAAAAAAAAAAAGCAGAGTATTAAAAAAAAAAAGCACTCTTCTTTTACTGGTGCCAATGTATTCCTGACTGCAAGCATGAGGATGGAATTCTTTTCTTTTTCTTAATGTTTCAAGCTTCAAACACATAAAAGTAGAGAATAGTACTGTAAAACCCTACATACCTATCACTCAGCTTCAACCATTATCAACACACAGGCGATTTTACTTCATCAAACATCCACAGCACTGTTCCCCCACGGACTGTCACATGGCAAAGGCCAGAAATCACCTCCATTGTAGTATTTCAGTATGTATCGTAAAAATGAGAGTATGTGCCATTAAAAACCTACGGACAATAACTTATCTCACATAAAAAACCTAAGAATAATTCCAGTCTTAAATATTCAGATAAAGTTCAAATTTTCTTCCCTGTTCTAAGTTTTATCTTTTCACGTTGGTTTGAGTCAGGTTACAAAGCCTACAAAGCCTATTTTGGTTTCCTTTCATATATAGCCCCCTCCCCTGCTTCTTCAAGAAAATTAAAACAGTTCTGGACCAATGCTAAATACATTCCTCATTATAACCCAAAAGGATTAGGCTTCCATTTTAAGTTGAAATAAAAATTCATTAAAAGCCTGTTTTGTAGACCCCTTTTGGGGTAAATGAAAGCACGTTAAAGCAAGAAATGGCTATTGATTTTAAATTGTCCTTTAAATTCAGAACACTGGTAATATTGAAGGTGTGACATACCATAATATATGCTGTTACACAGTTAGAAAGTACAGATCACCCACAGGTACTATCCAATCAGGCTCCTCTGGAGTCATGCCTGGCCATCCTTTTAGAGAAAGAGATGCTAAGTCTCATGGAGCTTCCTGAAGGTAGAATTCAACCCTAGTCTATTTTTCTCCTACCTTCCAAGAAAGATATAGAAGGCAGAAAATGACAATTTCCATTCTCTTCTCAACCAAAGGTAGAACCTACTAGTAAAACTAATAAATATTTTAGATTTTTGTTTAGGCAAGGACCAATTTATCACAAACGCCTTATCTTCCAGGTCTGATACCCAGAGCTGCTTGTGCAATCTTTTCTAAGGATCAGAAGCCAAGTGGGGGGCGGGGGGGGGGAATGCTGTGATTTAATTCATATAGCATGTGTGCTTGCACTCTCTCTCTTTTTTGCATTTACACTACTCATACCATAAGGCCAAAACATTTTATTATTATTTTTTATCCTCACTTGACATTTTTTTCATTGCATTTTTAGAGAGAAAGAGGGAGAAACGTCCATGCAAGAGAAAAGCACTGATTGGTAGCCTCCTGTATGCACCCAGAGCGGGATCCTAGGTGCTCCGGGACCAGGGACTGAACCCACAACCTAGGTTTGTGTCCTGACCAGGAATTAAACCCACAGCCTTTTGGTTACAGGACAGTGCTCCAACCAAATGAACCACTGGTCAGGGTGATTAGGCTATAGATTTCTTCCTACAAGTAAAAGGACTCAGCCTAAAACAATTCTAATTGCTTACAGTTAGTAGAAGCATTTGAGTGTAACACCCTGAAAAACAATTTTATACGATAAATTAGCTCAATGGAGAATTGAACCCAAGTAAGTGTGTATTTATTGGTTTATCCATACAATGAACATTTTTAAAAAAGATTTCATTTTATTTTTAGAGAGAGGGGGAAGGAGGGAGAGAGGGTAAGAAAAATCATGTGTGGTTGCCTCTTGTGCAACCCCTACTGTGGACCTGGCCAGCAGCCCAGGCATGTGGCCTGACTGGGAATCAAACGGGCGACCCTTTGGTTCGCAGGCCAGCACTCAATTCACTGAGCCACACCAGCCAGGGTTCAATAAATAAAACCTTAAAAAAAAAAAAAGAAAAGAAAAGGCAAGAGTGGCTGAATGCATTAAAGAAAAAAAAAGACCATAGTTAAAAAAAAATTTTTTTTTCAGTCAACAACTTACCACATATACAATGGTGATTCCGTAAGATTATCATGGAGCTGAAAAACATGTTTCGCCTACTGATGACTTAGCTGTAGTGCAACGCATTAGTCACATGCTTCTGGTGATACTGGTGTAAACAAATCTACTGTACTACCAGCCATACACAAGTATAGCATATAGTTATATATAGTACATAGTACTTGATACTGATAATCAATGACTATGTTACTCCTTTATAAATACATATACTACAATTCTTGTTACTTTAGAGTGTACTCTTTCTACTTACAGCAGTTTGTATTAAAACAGTATGCCACTCTATGCTGGCAGCAGCTTCATATACCTCATGTTCAAAGCATCTCTTGATTGCATCATTTTCTCTTGTGCTTGACTTAATTTCATGTTGTTTTAAAAACTCTGGCCCTGGCTGGCATAGCTCAGTGGATTGAGCACGGACTGCGAACCAAAGTGTCACAGGTTCGATTCCCAGTCAGGGTACATGCCTGGGTTGCAGGCCATGACCCCCAGCAACTGCACACTGATGTTTCTCTCTCTCTCTTTCTCCCTCCCTTCCCTCTCTAAAAATAAATAAATAAAACCTTTAAAAAAAATTCTGTGTAACCTAACTGTATAGTGTTTATCAGTTCCACAGTAGTGTACAGCAGTATTCTAGACCTTCACATTCATTCACCACTTGCTTACTAACTCACCCAGAGCAACATCCAGTCCTGATTGCTCCATTCATGGTAAGAGCCCTACATAGATGTACTACAGTATTTTTTTTTAAACTTTTATTAGCATTTATTTTCTTCTGAATTTATGCCCAGGCTACACGTTTTTTCCTTTGGTTTCTTCTGGGGTATCTTTTTCTTCTGTGCAACCTCCTCTTCTGGTTTGAGAAAAATCTCCTTTTTCAAGAAGGATCATCTCTGTGTGGCAAGGAGAGCTCAAGTACGGGTTAATCCACCCACGAGCTCTGTAAGTTCTGTACCACATCTTGGGAGGTTTGTTCACCTCCCAAGTCCCATTGAGGATGTCCTCAATGACCAGTGAATCTACATCTAAACCCTTAACCTCAGCATTACTCTCTGCATTTTTAAGCATGTGCAGCAAAAATTCAGCACTGTCTTTGGGTCAGTAACCCTGGGTCCAGCCCCACTGTCTGGCCTGGGCACACCTACCAGTGCCACCACTGTAACATTGGAAGGGCACACATTGCTTCTGTAAAGTGACATCCTTCAAATACTGGTGGCTTTGCAGCTCTGCATGCCTTCATAGCCTGGGCAGTTTCATGAGTGTTCTTGAAGTAAACACAAAGATTTGAACCTCCTGATTTGTGGGGTTTTCTGGGTCAAGTAAATGGTGAATTCAGAGGTCACTTCAGGTCACTTATGGGACGAGCCCATTTTATCTTTTATACCTTATTTTTACTGTACTTTTTCTATATTTAGATATACAACTACTTACATTGTCTTACAACTGCCTACAGTATTGAGTACGTAACATGCTGTACAGGTTTGTATCCTAGGAGCAATGGGATGGTTATACACATGTAGCCTAGATGTGTAGTAGGCGGTAACATCTAGGTCTGCATAAGTGTATGCTATGTTTTTCACACAATGAAATTGCCTAGCACATTTCTCAGGATGTATCCCTGTCATTAAGCGGTACATGGCTGTAAATAAAAAATACAGGTCTACCCTCAAGGAGCTTATAATACATTCTAGTAGAGAGCAGATCTACATCAGAAGAATCAGGGGAAAAAATGAGTACCTGTTTGTACCTGTGGCAAGAGCTAGGAAGGAGAGACACAGGAAAATGAGAACTTATGACTAGTGAAAAACAGCATGGTCACAGGAGGCTTGCCTGAAAAAGGCATCTGAAGAACTGAAACTACCTATGCAAAGACCCCTTGATTAAAGTGAGCATGGCACATCGAAGATAATGACAGGCCAGTGTGACTCGAGCACAGAGAAGGAGCAGAAACATGGTACAAAAGGAGACTGATAGGAGCTGGACCACATAGGGCCCAGTGGGTCACATTAAGTATTTTGGTCTCCATCCTATGAGCAAAGGAAAGCTACTAAGGTATTTTAAACAAGGAGGCAGTGGGGAGTGGGTACAGAAAACATGATCAGATTGACATGCAAGAAACAGGCAGACAGCTGTGATGAATAGAGCAAGACTAGTTAACTGACAAGACTAGGTCAGGTGAGAGTGAAAAGCAGCCTAGACAGGCTGATGATGATAAAGAGAAGTAGATGAATAATGCTAGTAATAGTTAATGTGTGTTAAACACTGTGAGAAAAATACTGTGCTATGCCCTTCATGCAGATTCCCTTTATGCTCAAAAAAATCCCATAAGATGGGTATTATTATCACCATTTTGCAAGAAACTAAGGCTTAGAGAAGTTAAGTATCTTCCCTAGAGATTAGTGTAGCCAGGATCCATCCCAGCAGCCTGACCTCCAGCCCACTCACTCTCTTTACTACAAAGGAGCAGACTAAATAGTGCTATCTTTCACTAAGGTTTGAGGGGAAAGAGCATGAGTTCTATTTTGGACAAATTGAGGTAGCTTTGAGGAACCCCAGTAGGGAAAAGCTTCTCAGGAGATGTTAACTAAATAGTGGGATACATAGATCTGAACTAGATCTCAGAAGCCAAATCTGAGATATAAGTCCACAAGTTATATGTATATGGGTGGCAACTGAAGCTGAGAGTGTGGGTAGGCAAGGATGGAGAAAAAACACGGAACGGAAAATGAAGCATTAGGGTAGAGCCCAGGACTCCTACATGTGCTGTCCAGGGAAGAACAGTCTGCTTGGGACACAAAAGGACGAACAGAAGGGGCGGGGGGGGGGGCGGGGAACAACAGGAATTCTGTATCCCAGAAGTCAGGAGAGAACAGAAAGCTTCAGAAAAGAAAGTGGTCAACAACCTGGAATGCAGCTGAGAGGTCAGGAAAGATCAGAATTGAAGAGTCCGTTGGATTTAGTAACCATAACAAAATCTATTGGGATGGAAGTGGGTTGAGAAATGACTGGGAGGTCAGAGATAGGTTAGTGAGATTTGTATTTTGTTTCTAAATGAAGAAACAAGCATATCTAATAACCTAATAGGAGAGACCCAGAGGATCCTTTCTGGGCAACTGACTTTAATTTTCCACTTATTTTTGAATGCCGGGTCCAAAGGAAACCCAAGCCCCTAGACCCAGCAGAACTAAAAATCTTTACAGTTACTTTAACGCCAAGCACCAAAGCTTTGGGTCAAAGGTTTCCAACTGCTGTAACTCGAAGAGAGCAAGGATAAGGAAAAATCCTTAGAGGCAGGCTGAGGGAAGAAGACAAGCTACGGCGAGGCCCAGAGAATGAAATCAGAATTCGAGCGAGCCCTCCCGGCAAAGGCCGCCAGGCGGAGGGTGACCGGCGACGGCCAGCCCGGGTAGTGAAACCCGTGTGTGGGGAGGCCCTCCGCCGGGCCAGACCCCTGGCCTCTCCAACACTTCAGCCCAGGAGCTGGAACCCTCCGTCCAGAAGGACCCGGTGAGGATGGCCCACCCCTACTGGCCGCACCTTAGTCCCAGGGCCGCTGGGGCTGGTATGGAGGGGGTCTGGGGTGGGGGTGGGGGGGTCCACCCGGGGACCGGCTGGAGGACGTTGCCCCTAAGGCGCGGCTGCAGCAGCGGAGACAAGGGGAGGCCAAATCTTCGGCTGTGGGCGCCAGCCAGCAGCCGGGCGGAAGCGGCCGCCGACCCACCCCGGGCGCTGCCCGTCGAGACCGGCTCCCACAAACAGGAAAGCTCAGCTGGCTGGCCCAGCCCTCTGGCCCCCACCCTCCCCGGCGGCAACTCACCATTTTCCTTCCGGCAGCCAGCAGCCTCTCGTCTTCCCTTGGGCCCCTTTAAGAATGGCACCTCAGCCGCCTCCCTTCCAGCCCCGGCGCTCAGCAGAGCCTCCCCCACTGCTCAGGCGGCCTTCGCGGCCAGACACGTGACCGCGGACGGTGGGAGGCGCGGCTCAAAATTAGCCGGAGCGGTCGCCTGTATTCTCCTGTTTAACTGCGACTGGTCGACCTTACCAAAATGCACTCTTAATATCCAAGATCGGGGGATTTTGGTTCAATTCAATAGAATTTTTTGTATAAGGGTTTTCCAACTTCAGCATATTGACATTTGGAGTCCAATAATTCCTCGTTGTGGGTGGGCTGTTGTGCATTGTAGGGTGTTGAGCAGCATCCCTGGCTTCTACGCACTTAAGGCCGGTAAGCACGTCCCCATTTATGACAACCAAGAATGTGACCAGATATAGTCAAATGTTGCCAGGAGGTAGGGGTGCGAAATCATCCCCAGTTAAGAACCACTGTTAAAAATGAATATACTAAGCTTTGAGCCACAGACTGAGTGCCGTGTTAATCACCTTTGTGAGCTCAGTTGGAGCAGGCTCCAGGTAGCCTCCTGCTATTTAGGGTATATAGATGACAGAAGCCCAACATCTAGGACCGTGAGAGTTTTTTGCCGGAGGGACTTAGAAGTTCGGTGGGTTCAAAGGGTTAGGTTGTGCTTGGGTACTATAAGACTTTTCACAATTCCTGTCATCTATGGGATCACACTCAAATTACACATTCATCCAATTCTGTTGTGCAGGGACTGCCTCAAAGTTTGAAAATCAAAATTAGAAACTCAAAGTTATGGCGCTTATTATATCCCTGTTGGTGTATCCAAAACAGAGATAAATTTTCTCTCCAGGAAATAATATGAGACATGGAAAGGCCATATAAAATGAATGAATGGGATTGGCAAATGCAAGAAAAATATAATAGAGATCATACCTTTCGACAACATATTAATAAATTTTGCATTTCTCTTATGAAACCCTCTCATTGGTTGGCCAGAAGTACCAGACTCAAAAGAGAAACATAGGGGGGAAATTCTTGAAAGAAAAATAAAAAAGAGAAACATAACCGTGATGCCGGGAATGCAAAAAAAAAAAAAAAAAAGCAGCTTTTGACTACCGAAATACAGGGTCCGGCAGAAGTAACGCCTGCTTGAGTGTGGTTGATAGGGTAATAATATGGGTGTAATAATTATAGTTTTAATTTGAACATTTTACCTAAAATGTCATATGATGTGTTCGAGTGTGATATTGTTATGTTACAGAATTACATGCTTATGATTTTGTAATAAATAGTTTATGATAAAAAGGCATTATTTTATGCCAGACCCTGTAGGATTTTGAGTCCCAAGAAAGACAATAATCTTGACATAGCCAGGCATTACTAAGAGAGAAAGGTTTTATAACATTTTAAAGTTCCATTAACATTTCAAAATCCAAACCTTGGCACAATTAGAAGTGTCATTTAGTAAACACTTTTTGTTTAGTAGACATTCACAAGTAGACACTTGTCATTTAGTAGACATTCACAAAGGTCCTGATTTTCCCAACCCTACCATGAGATCATGTGAATACCCAGTACAGAAGGTATACATAAAATACTATCTTAGCCCTGGCTGGTGTGCCTTAGTAGATTGAGTGCCAGCCTGTGAACCAAAGGATCACAGGTTTGATTCCCAGTCCGGGCACATGCCTGGGTTGTGGGCCAGGTCCCCAGTTGGGGGTGCACAAGAGGCAACCACACATTGATATTTCTCTCCTTCTCATTCTCCCTCCCTTTCCCTCTTTCTAAAAATAAATAGATAAAATCTTAAAAAAAAAAAACAACACACTGTCTTAGGGAGAAGCAAGAGAAGAGGGAGGAGTGAAAGGAGAGACTAAAAATTTTCCTGAAAGAGACCAGCTACCCAAAAGGACAGTTAAACTTGGAGAGAGTAGGATACCTTTAATTGATAAATTTAGGCTTACTAGTCTCCCATTGTCCTCTCTTTTTTCCTGCCTTCTATTACTCAATGGGCCAAGGCTTCACGAGCCAAACTATATCAGTTATAGATAATAGAGAAGAGACATACTTTCTGTTTATCTAAGAGTTATACATTTTTTAGCCTAATATAGATACTTCAGGCTGCCAAGTTATCTCATGGAGAAGAACTTCCCTCTTTCCATCCCTGCCCTGCCTCCCTCCCTTCCTTCTTTCTTTCCTTCCTTCCATAAACATGTGTTGAGACAGTATAAGACATATATTAGGTACTTTTGGCACACACATCAACTTGATGTCACTCCTGCACTCAGGGAGCTGGGGACCTAGTAGGCTACATAGACTATGAGCAAATGTTTTTGCCAGCATCAGGGAAGCTCCATGGAGATCCACGATGGGTGTTATGGGAGAGGCCTCTCCCCAAGTGTTGGGAAGTGTTCAGGAAGGCTTCCTGAAGAAGGAAGCTTCAGCAATGAGTCTTATGGATACATAGAAAGTTTGCCAGGAGGAGGAACGAAGGGTTTTTCAGGCAAAGGAAGGAGCATATGCACATAGCTGTGATGATTAACTTTGTCAGTTTGACTGCTCCATGGGGTGTTCAGATTAAACATGATTTCAGAGTGTGCCTATGAGGGTGTTTCTGGATGACATTAGCGTTGAAATCAGTCAGTGTACTTGGCAAAGTATTGGGTTAGCCAAAAAGTTTGTTTAGTTTTTTCCATAAAATAAAAGACACATTTTTCATTTTCACCAACAACTTTATTCCTTTGGATATTTTGAGTATGTTGGCTATCTCCCGCATGATGTAATATTGATCGTTCCCAATTAATGTTTCAATTTGATCCCTATCAACTTCAACTGATCTACTTGGTGGTAGAGCATCATTCAGCAAGAAATCTCTAGCATGAAACTTCGCAAAACACTTTGGACACATCTGATCAGTCACAGAACCTTCTCCATACACTGCACAAATGGTGCTTTGTTTTGGGGTTGTTTTTTTTTTTTTGCATTTCAGTTGTGTTTTTACCATTCTTGAGATAATAAAACATAGTATGCCAAAAATGTTGCATATTTTCTTCCATCTTCAATATTAAAATGGCTACTCAAAAATTCACCAATTTTGATACTTTTTTTAAATGCATGCTGATATGAGAGCTGGCACAGTCCAATCTAACAAGTGTTTTCAATGAAGTTAAAGACAACTAAGTGCTATTAGAGCCATCTTATGGAAAAAAGAAAACAAACTTTTTGGTCATCCCAGTAGATTACCCTCCCCAATGTGGATGAACATTGTGCAATCAGATGAGGGCCTGAATAGAGCAAAAGGCAGAGGAAGAAGGAATTTGTCTCCCCCCTTTTTTTTTCTACTTGCCTGCCTGCTTGAGCTGAAACACTGGTCTTTTCCTGCCTTTGGACTGGGATTTGTATCATTGATTTCCCTGGTTCTCAGACCTTTGGACTTGAATTGGAACTACACCACCACTTTCCTGGATCTCCAGCTTGTAGATGGCAGGCTGTGGGACTTCTCATCCTCCATAGTCATGTGAGACAATCCTCATAATCAATCCATCAATCTCTCTCCCAATATTTATATCTACCTACATACCTCTCCTCTCACCCCTTCCTCTGGAGAACCCTAATACAGTAGCCAATTCTGAGATCTGAAAATACCTTATTTCACTACTTTTGAGATTCACTTCTCCCCATGCTTTAATTTCTCTGAAATCAGGATCACCTAACAATCCATGGCATCTTACAATTTTGTTCTGAGTGATAAAGTAAAGGTGAGGCTTAAAGTACCCTAAGGTGAATGAAGTTTACATTTTTGGGATCTTCACTTGCATGGGGCCCTTCCAAGGCCTTATACTTAATTTGTATTTGTGGTTTTATATTCAGTCTCTTAGAATGGGTCCCCAAAATGGTATATGCTCCAGACTCTATATAACTGCATCTATCTCTAACGTATCTAATGTATTTTTAGAAGATTGACTAATTCAGTAGGTTGATGATTAATATTTACAGGGGATAAGGGAAGGAGGATGGGTTTGAGAGGTGGGAGATTGGAGACTTAGGATCTAATTTCAATGAATGATAGCTACCCATTCATCTGGCAGCAGAAGCCAGAAACTTCAACTCCTGCCGCTCTCTCATGCCCTAATCCAATCTATCATTGGGCTCTGTATACTTCTCTCATGACAGAGATTCCTAGTTCTCCCTCAAACTCTTGTTTTCTTCTTCTCTAAGTAATAGAAACCTCTAGTTTTAGCCAGACGCTCTGAACGAAGACAATTTTCCTGCCTCCCTTTCAGTTAAATGTGGACATGAGGCTTAGTTTTGGCCAATGGAATGTGTGCTGTATCCTTAGTTTCCTCAAATTGAAATGGAGTCTCATTCTCCCTCTCTCTTTCCTCCCTCTTGCTAGCAGGAACATGGACATGATAGCTGGAGCTCCTGCAGACATCTTGGACCATGAGGTAACCTTAGGAAATGGAGCTACATGAAGCAAAATATAAACCTCAGTCCCTTGCACTGTGGAGTACTATATCAGTCCTGCATTACCTACTTCTGGACTTTCACTTGAAAGAGAAGTAAACAATCTCAAGTAAGATACCATTATTATTTTTTGTCACTCAGTTAAAATAATTTCTTACTAATAATTCATCTCCCTGCAAGACCTCATCACTATCCTAATGAGAGTTACCAATATGTCTTGCCTTGAATTTTAAAAGAATCTATTAATTGATATCCCCATATTTATTCCTAACCATGACTGTCTCCTACCAAAGAGTTTTGTCCACAAGAGCCAAAGTGCTTGATTCAAAATGTAAACTGAATGTCACTCCTGCCTGTCCTGCCATAATAGAATAACACAGATTAGGTGGCCTAAACAAAATAATTTTCTCACAGCTTTAGAGTCTAGAGGTCCAAGACCAAGTTGCCAGCAGGCTTCCTTGATTTGCAGAAGCCGTTTTCTGACTGTGTCCTCACATGGCCTTTTCTCTGTATGCACGTGCATAGAGAACAATGTCTCTTCCTTTTTATTTTTTGCATGAGTCCTTTTGGACTAGGATCCCACCC